ACTATTCACGTCTTCCCAGATTACGATGCCGCTCATTGTGCTATTCTGACTTAGTTTAACGTGCTAACTATTACTTTGCAAAAGAACTACATGTCCATTGTATGCTTTTGAGAATGTATTAATTTTTACCCCTTCACAGCAGCCATAGTGTTTCCATGGTGTAGATGTACTACAGTTTTTAATCAACTCATCTTCTGATGGGCACTTAGGATCTTTCCAAATCTTACATATTGTAAATTGTGCTGCTATGAACATAGGGGTACATGGTATTGTGTGTTTGCTTGCTTGTTTGTTTCTTATTCAGTCCTTTGGAAGATTCACATAATAGATTATTATTATTATTATTATTATCATCATCATCATCATTATCTGAGGACATGTTCATTGATTTTTAGAGGGAGAGGGGGAGAGAGAGAGAAAGAGAGAGAGTCAGACAGACATGGAGAGAGAGAGAAACATCAACCAGCCACCTCCCTTATGTGCCCTGACTAGGGATTAAAGCTGCAACCTGGGTATGTGCCCTGACCGGAAATCAAACCTGCAGCCTTCTGGTGTACAGGACAACACTCCAACCAACTGAGTTACCTGGCCAGGACTAGATCACTATGTTTTAAATCACTTTAAAGTTTTCTATATGTGTGAATCCCAAATTGTAAAGGACTTCTCTCCTGCAGTATTCCTCCCCTCAATAGTAGGACAAATAAACAGATGTGGTGGTCACTTCCACTTTCTCAGTGACCTGAGGAATGAGGTATTTGTTTAGAAGCACTCAAAATAATGCCAACGGTTTGCACATTTTGGCAGGTTAAGCAGAGGAAACATGTGATCAAAATGTAATCTGCTTGAAGTGTGTTAGGAAAAAATTCATCTCAGTTAATTTGAAGATTATCCTATCATAGATGTCACTACTATTTTGCAATCCCTGTGACTAAAGCAATTGTGCTGTCAGAACCGTACTTACGTAGACAGAACATCAAGTCTGTGGTCACTGGTGTTCTGGATCTTTCTGCAGGAGTGCTAGAAGGCTACCAAATGTAAAAGTGGAAACTTCTTTGTGTTCTTTATTATATACAAGTTATTTCAACACATTCAGAGTCATGGACTTTGGAGAAGTTGATGGTCTTAGAGACTACCTCTTGCAACTCCTGGCTTCTCCAATTTTGTGGATAAAATGCTGTCTCTGAGGTTGTTTTAGAACTTGAGGCCTCTTACCCCTCTTTGGCAGGCCTTTCATTTCTGGTTCTTCCACCAAGTATTCCACCATGTGAACGGGAACATTTTTATTTAATCTCAGTAAAGTCATCGAACAGAGTAGCTTATAACTGGAGGGGGCCTGGCAGGGGAAGGAAGGATGGGAGGAAAGGAAGGAAGAGAGGGAGAGAGGGAGGGAGGGAGGGAGGGAGGGAGGGAGGGCAGGGAGGGAGGGAAAGAAAGAATCTGCTTGTATTTTCTGTGTGTGCATCACCTGAAATTTTGTTGCCACCCTGTAAGAAAAAGGGCAATATCTCCATCTTCATAGATGGGATGAACTCCTTTGGACCAGGCTTCTTTCACTTAACATTATGCTTGTGAGATTTATTTCTGATATGGCCTGTATTTGTAACTCATTCGTTTTTAGGGACAGTGTAGTATTTCACTGTGTGGTTATCTCCCCCCCCCCTTTTTTTACTAAAAACTTCTATTGATGGATATGCGCATTGGTTCCAGATTGAAACTATTATAAAAAGTGTTATTATGAACACCTGTATATTCATGCTTAAGTTCTGCTGAAGATATTCAAGCAGATTTTGAAAGTGGCTGTACCAATTTGTACTTCTTTCAACAGGGTATGTGAAATCTAGTTTGCCCATATTCTTGCCTGTACTTGATGCTCTTAGTCTTTTTTATTTAGGTCATTCTGATGAATTAAAGATTTTCCTTTTTTTTTGGCTCACATTTTTTTCATCTCATTCTACTAGTATATAAATGCTTTGCTGTACTTGATTTAGAATAACTTATTTACAGCCAAATATACACATTTCCAAATAGGTATTAAATGATTCTTTTTGTGAGCTCATAAATAATGAGTTTCAGAAGGTTGCCAAGATCTATGTACTAACTCAGCCTGAATTAATGACCCCACTTGAAGGGCCTGGTTTTTAGGCCTCTGTGTCAGACCTCCTTGTTTATTCCATTTTACAGATGAAGTGACTGAGCCACTTCAGGGACTAGGGACCATCCCAGGTGCTATGGCCAGGCCTCCTAGAAGAGCCAAGATTGTAATGTTCACTCCTTTCTCTCAAGTGAGGTCCTTTGTTGATTCTTGTACTCTTTCATTTGCTAAATAATTTTTGAATACATACTGGATGGCAGGCACTGGACTTGGCCCAGGGGACTCAGTGCAAACAAGCTTCTAACCTAATGATGTCCTCTTTCACTTTACAGGTTATGGCTTTCAAATCACAGCCTATTTCCTCAAGAGAGGGATACGCCTTCGCTGCTTTGGGGGCTCACAGCGTCCTGGTAAGAAACTGATTTCCTGGGTTGTCAGACATTTTGCACAGTTAGCTTGCCTTTGAGAGGGGAGAAAATTAAGGAATGAGGATCCCTACCTACTTTGTTGTCTTTATGAAATTGAAGTACTAAGTAAGAGTATTTCCAGAATTTGTGATTATTTCTTTTTCCATTTTCACTGTTTATTGCCTGCCTGAGAACAGTGAGCTGGGCCACACTACACTGCTTTCCTGCTGCATCTCAGCACTTTCATTGAGCTTCCAGAATGACTCACAGGCAGTCAAACTATGAATCACTTCATCATTGTCTGTGCACACCAAGGCCCTGGGATATGGAGCAAGTGTGTGCACGAGAAAATGCTTTCCCAGCCTTTCCTAGGTGTGTGACCAGGCCAGCTTCCCCCTCATTTTCCCCAAGTCAAGATGTCCACTGAGGAAATGATGTCAAACTCATCCAGCCAACAATAATAAAGTCAGATGCTAACGACCATTCTCCAAGTTGATCTGAGCATTGGAAAGAAAATCTAGTTCAACTTCCATGCATGATTTTAGTATATAAGCTATGAAACGGGGACTTTAAAAATTAACTGTATGGAGGTTTGCTCTTGGAATCTTCACAATTATCTGTAATTTCTCAACTTTAAGTGTCACTTGACTATATTACTCTCTTACTCAATTCTCTTAGTAAAATATGCCAGTTAACCTGTATCTGTTAAATGCAGCCTAGCTACCCTTCATGGTGGGGATGGCTGTTGCCTAAATCTTTATTTAAATATTAAAGTAATGAAAATCTCAAATATGACCTAATTAGAGTAAAGGGATATAGAAATTGCTTTCTGTTTGCACAACACCCGGCACCAAAATGTTCAAATCTGCATTCTATCCTTCTTATTTTTCAGAGGAAGAAAGGGAAGAACAGAATAGAGGAATTATTTGATAGAATGATTAACTTTGAATTCTGGTTCGGATCCACTAATAATTGATATAACTAATCATTTTGAATTTTAATTCTGATTCTCCAACAAGTTGTATTTCAGTGTTATGATATTGGGGAGACGGAGAGTGCCAAATAATGCGTTTTATGACTCAGCTTCCCTTTCCATAAAGTGGGGAACCAGACATTTACTGATTATCTCAATAGGATATTTTAAGAATTAATCAATAAATACTAACTGCTTTGATAATTTTGGTTTTCTGGCTTTTCAAAGCCCATTCCTGGTCACCTGGCCACATATGATATCCATGAGGGGTCAAAGTATTCCCAGAAATGGAGGTTTCTATATGAGCAAGACTAATGGGAGTAAGAACAGAACTACAGGTTAGGTCCCATCATGGAGGGTTTTGGATATGTTCATAGTATGTGGTGGCACTAAGGAACCATGATAAGGGTTTGAGCATAGTAAGTGGAGCTTCTTTTTAAAATTGTTCATCTGCTTGCACTTCGTAGAATAAATTGGAATAGGGAAGAGTAGCCACCAAGCAGTGGTCCAGGTGAGAGGTAAAGAGAGAGCTGTTACTAGAACAGTGGTTCTCAACCTTGGCTGCACATTAGAATCACCTGGGAATCTTTTTAAAATCCTGATTTCTGGGCCTCATCCTCCGGAAATTCTGTTTCTTTGTTATGGGGTGGGGCCACAATATTAGTAACAAAGAAACAGAATTTCTGGAGGATGAGGCCCGGAAATCAGGATTTTAAAAAGATTCCAGGTGATTCTAATGTGCAGCCAAGGTTGAGAACCACTGCCCTAGAGCTTTGTGCTTGCCCCGCCCTACTGACGGCAAACATAGAAAGGTGGGGAGGAGACACCTGTGACTCATACATATATGCTTATTGCTGTAACTTACAAATCTGGGGTCACCCATTTCTGTGTTTATAGGTTTTTGATGCCTTTAGTAATTTGGTTTTCTTCATTTTATACAGAACTTCGTGTATTTCCTGACAGATTTGTGGTCTGTGTAAGTCAGCTTGCATTCAGTTGTGATCTTTCAAGGCAGAATGAGGAATTGGTATGTATGAAAAAATTCTATAAGCAAATCTGCTTAAATATTGAATTAAAGAATTTTTTCTTGTTGTCATTTGGCTATTGATCACTTAATGTATGTTTTAAGGGGCATACATTAAGTGCTCAATATGTCCTACCTGTTATGCATGATATTATTAAGACCGCTTGAAAATTTAATTTGATCAGCAGTATCTTTTCCATATCAATTTTAAATGAGAAAGCAACATTTTATAAAAACTGTGATGGTGCTTAGGATAGTATTTAAATGAAATAAAACAAAGTCTTTAAATGAAATGAAGCAAAATCCACGTTTCCACTGGAAGCTTTCATTGGGGTCAGTGGCTTTTGAATTTTATTCCATGGTGAATCACTGACATTTTCATGAGAACCAGTACTTTTCCCCAGTGTGTTATTTCTTAGCTGATAGGGTTCATTTTCTTTCTCATTTCTCATGCTAAGTCTTAAGCTCCATCACATCCTGTTACTCTTTCATTGGAGTTCTCTATTCAGACAAGTAGATTCAGAAAACGCTGGTAATATTGCACTGGCGAGCGTCTCCTTGTGTGTGTACATCCAGTCTATCTGAACTTAGTTCTATACAAACTTTTTTATATTTGTGGACATACTAGTATGCCGTAAAACTATAACAAAGAGATGAAAAAAAGTCTAGCAGACATTAAACCTGGGTATGAAGTATATGACATGATTATGCTTCTAAATAGGAATATTAATTTACCTGTTATGTTTATTTCTAATCCATTTGAAATTTGGCCCATATGGTCTAAAAACAACCTCTTATCTCATCTTAAATAAATACTTAGGGAGAGTGTTTTAGAGGCAATAAGGGTAAATGGAAATCCAGAAAAAGTAAAGGGCAGAGAACTCATATTTACATGTAGGTGCCTTCATTTGGAACAAATATGCCCATCAGAAAAGCCAACATGACCCTAATTTCTTCATATATCAATAAAACTCTATACATATTAAATTAATTAAATAAGGCAAATTTGGTGAAAAGTATTAAAATTTTATTCTTTGAAATATTTTTAGAATTTTAATTTCTTAGTAAATTAATAAATGCTAAAATAGTAATGCTATTGGCAAACAAGTATATTATAATATAACTTAATTAACTCCAAGCAATGAAGAAATTGACCTGTGGTTTAAGAAAACAGTTAAGTGTACTAGAAAGTATCATTGCTTTCAGATAGGATACAGAATAAATGAGATCTTGTATGATATGTGATTTTGATACTTAAATTATAAAGGTTGAATTAAAACATCTCAGTACAACTGAAATACTATCTTCCTTAGGGGCACTGATATTTATACAGATGTAAGTTTTCTACAGCTGCTGTTATTTAAGTCCTGTAATCTTAAGGCAGTGGTTCTCAAACCTTGGCTGCACATTAGAAACACCTGGGAACCCTGTTGAGGGATACTTACAAAATAACTGGCCTCTACTCTTCAAAAATGTTATGGTCATGAAAGACAAAGATTGAGGAACTGTCTAGATTAAATGAGATTTATGAGATTTGACAGCTAAGGATCCTGGGTTGGGATACTAGACACAAAAAAAAAAGTCCTCTAAGGGCATTTTAGGATATTTGGGGGGAAAATCACTTAGGGTTAGATCATTCATTTCCTGATTTGAAAGCTTGTTTGTAGA